TTTCCTCCCCTCTCCCAAATTGGTTTGGCTGCCATTTCGGTGACATTAATTTACAGTTTGCCAATTGCGATGAAGAAAAAGAGAACAACGGCAAAACTCATTAAAGAAACACTCTGGAGATAAGCGAGGGAACCTCAAAAAACAACCAGTCGAAAAGAACTTGCGAAGCTGAATGGCAAACAATTTGTTGTCGCTTTTTGGCAGTTTTTGTTTGCTCGGAAATAACGTCTCAAATATGAGGTTACCGAAAATAAATGAGAAATTAAATTCGCATGCAATGCCATCTGCGGATCTTAACCCAGAGATCAATTGGCACAATCAGATGCGATCATAAATTAGCAGGGAAACAATATTTTTTATTGGACCATGCAATAAGAGAAAGTCGAACAGGAAAGGGGAAGTATTGAAACCGATGGTTAACATACTCTTGGAGTTGGAAATTTGTCGTTTAGTTATGGATGTTTTAATTCAGTTTTTCTCTAGCAGTTTAAAGCTAATAGTAGGTGGTTAAATATTTATTTGGACAAACATTTATTAAAAACATAGTAGAGAATTTAAAAGTGCATAAAATGTGTTGAAAAAGATATAGAATTTATAATTGATTGTGAAGAACAGATAACAAGAGTAATACCCCATCAAAGGGTATAAAACTGCTTATCAGAAAAAGTCGTAGAGGAAACGACCATTCATTCACTGGTAGCTCTTCCTGATTAACAAAAGGGAACAGCAGATAAGCCCTCTTCGCACGCACACTCGCACAGAAGCGAGCATTATGCAATGATCCTCTGACCACTCTGCATTTCCCCAGCCCTCGTACTCCCCCGTTTCATTTCTTCTGCATTTTTCTGACCACTGGAGGAAATGAGGTGAATGCCTTCTTAGCAGGCGACAAGCAAAACAAAAACCAACAAACTGAGAAATTGAGAAGAGTGAGAGAAAGAGGAAGGGACAGCCCAAAGTCCATAAGCCAAGCGAAATCGATATTTTTCAGGGACGTCTCCTCCCCCTGGCTGAAAACCCCCCCTAATCCTCCTCAATTTCCTTGCATTTTTATGCTCTTTCCTTCGTTTTCTTTTTTTCATGTGCACTGAAAAAAACATTTAATTTTATTGGCTTGTTAAAAAAGATAAAATACCAAAAATATGATTTGTATATGCTCTTTGCTATTGGTAATAAATAATCAGTAATTGATGTTTTAGTAAAAAGGTTAAAGTAATACCCATTTGTATCTCCCTGTGTACTTCTTGTTGTTTCCAATGTGGTTTCAACAATTGTGTGCTTATTCAGAGAGGGTGACGTTTAAAGGGGGTGGAGTGGGTGAGGGTAGCAGGAACAGGAGGGCAGTGGTAAGTGGCAATCCAGGGTATGACTAGTTTCAAACTGGGTGGTGACTCACCAACAGAACATTTGCCACCAGCTTGCAGTTCTCTTTGCCCTCGTATCTGTATCTGTAGCCGAGTGTGTGGTGCTGTTTTATTTCGTATCTTGTGGTTTCGGTGGTGCCACCATTGCCGCTGACACACGTGAAGCCACATCAATCCGTCAGCCGACTTTTGCACTTAAACGTGTCGCTTTGGTTTGGCCCATTCGATGAGTAAAACTGTAGATAGTGGTGAAGAACGAGGAAAATCCTGTTTTGATTTCTAGTTATTTTCTTTATTGCTATTTTATTTTATGATGATTTTTAGTTATTGTACTTTTGTAAATGCCAAATCTTTTTATGGCCAGTTAACCATTTGTTTTTTTTATTGCTTACTGTGCCGTTCGGAAATATATATAAAATATTAAAAACGATTTTTTTATTGATTTCAATTCAAATGTAATATACCTAAAAACTTATGTTTTATTTTATTGTAGTGACCTTTCTACTGAAAACCTATAGCCTTTAAACATAACACTCTTTATGCGAAATAATAACAATTTCATTAAACAGATGATAAAGCGAAAAACTATTAAATATTTTACTGCATTACTTTTCTCCATTTGAAATTCCGCATGAATTCTTAACTAGCCAACAAGCCACTCTAGAGCCCAAGTTTACTTTCACATTTATAGTCTATCCACCTAGTAATTTCCCGATGCGCAAGAACATAAACCTGCTCCAAGTTATCGCCTCATCTCTAACTCGTTCTTGGACTTTTCCCCTTTCCCAAAGCCATCAACGTGGAGTACCACTCTGCTGCTCCCTGGAGGCGATACTCAATTACCTGCACTTGTCACAGAATCCAGATGGTTCAGCCGGGATAATGACGATCACTTAGCACATGATCCATTCCATAGTTAGTTAGTGACTGAAAAGTCCGGAGTCATCGCGGAGCAACCGATGATTAGCAGCCAGGCATAAATTCTAAGCTTTATCTCGCAGATTGCGTAACGGTTTTCTGTGAGGTTTTCCCAGCTTTTCATCCTGAGAGTGTGAGAGCCATAAATGGCAAGCACTAATTGCTTGTCCCGCTCATAAAAAGTGGAAATGTTGCAAGAGCGCAGGGGCGGAGTTGCATTATCGTTAAAACAAATGTTCGTTTTTAGTCTCCGGGCGAATGCAAATATATAGGTACCCAAAAAGAGGGGAAAGCCAATCGATCCATCGATCGGTTTGGTCGTTCATCGAAATCATCGGACAGGCCCTTAGCCTCGGGCCCAACACTTGCTTTCTGGTTTTTTTATGGGAAAGCATTGATTGCATAAGTAGGACAACAGGGCGGGGTCCTCGATTGGAGAATTTGGGTTACCAAAACAGAGGGGAAATCGGAGAAAAATGCCTGAGAAGGAAGGCAATTTATGTTGAGAACTTGAAGTAATTTTTCGGTAACACATCGCTGACCCATTTATATTTCTGTGTGGGTGGAAATAACAAATTCTCCATTTAAAATGTCACAAAAATGTCAAACGAATCGACTTCCCCTGGCGCCTTCTCTTCTTCGAAACGTGTGAACAAATGTGTTTAATGCCACGCCCCCTGGCCACCAACATACTAACACGCCCCCTGATCTCGCCCAGAAAATGCAATTAAATTCTCCAAGAGTTGGAAGTTGCCTCGAGTTGCAATGGTTTCGATTGGGTCTGCGCTTTTGGCCTCGTTTTAGGTGTGGAAAATGACACTTTGAATTAAGACATTTTGTGTGGAGATTCTGGGAAGGGAGTTTTGTTGCAGAGCAATTCGGGTTTATTTATGGTCGTGAGGGTCTGAGGGAGCAACTAATTAGTCGGTTTTGGGAAATATTTTAAAAGGGAGAAATGAGAGACTACTAATTTCTGGGAGAAATCATTTAAATAAATAATACTTTCTCTAAAGTTTAAGTAAAAAGTATGAATTTCAATACTTTTACCCATCCTTTGTAATTTTTGTAATATTATGATATTTTTTATTATTCACAAATAAGCTGTATTTTTTTTACTGTATATGATTCCTTTAAAAATTATTTACTAATAAATTCATATGTTTTTTCTTTACAGGTAAGTTAATGACGACCAACCAATGGATTGAAATGGCGTAAGAAAAATCACTTCGAACTTCCTCTTTTAAATGGTTAAGTTAACTATTTCCTAAATGACCCCCGTCGATTTCCTCAGACGGAAAAATGTTTTCCCTTTTGCACTGCCCATCTTTTTAGATGCAAGCGCGGGTGGATTAAAAGCGGTTAATTATGCACACGTAGGCCGGATATGGACAAAGTAATCCGTATGTTAATCGTGTTCAGATGCGGTCAGTCTTGAACCATCTATGGAGTGTAGGAAGCATTACTTAACTAAATTGCTTTGAAAGATTAGGATGCATATCAAATTGAATCAATTTAACAAGCAAAAATTCGTTGGTAAATAAAAACTATAACCACCCACTTTCCAAGTAAGCATTACAAATTTATTAGATGCGCTGTTTTTCGCATTATTTAAGAAACATTAATTAATTTCTTTAACAATCCAAAATTTGGTTTTTGTTAATTGTACACAATAGTTTCGTGATAACTAAATGCATTATTAATAGGAAGATTAACATGTTAGTTCCATTTTTATTGTGGTTTTAAAACCGAATAAAAACAGATCTAGTTTTCATTAAACTTTTGGATGATCTCTTGATATGTGGTGGTATTCGAAAGGGATCGGGGGGCAGGCGAAGGCTCCGGCGACGCAGCGCCTCCAGGGCCAGATCCTTGTACTTCTGCTTCCGCTCCCTGTCCATCCTTTTCCACAAGTCATTGGCCAATCCCTGAAGTCGCAGAAGATCCTTGTATCCCAGCCTTCGAATGTAGAGCTGTTGTTCTGGATCCAAGCCGTGTTTTCTTCGCTCCTGTGAGAGCACAAGGTCGTAGTATCCATCGTACATCTCGCGCACAAAATTCTGAAAGGCCGACGTTTCCGCTTGCATTACCACCTTTCGGGTTTTCTGATGCTCCAAAGTGCTGGGCGAGAAGGCCACATGGCGACTTATAGATGGAATGAGAAATCGGGTATGTCGTTGCAGGGTGATACTCCTCTCACTTTGCAGACTCAGATGAGTCAGGTGGCTGTGCTTGCTTGCGGAAACGCCCAGAACAACTCGGTCCTGCAACCTTTTAGGTGGATCTGTAAGGGAGTCCAGTACACGCCAAAGATTTCTCCAGAATTGTGGCATTTTCGGCTATAAGCTAGGATGTCTGGGTGCTGTGAACGGACAAGCATGGCCTGCTGCTCCAAAAAGAGCTCCCTCGTAACATTTGTAATATTAATTTAGACTATCATGTTTACCTTTGAACCAAAATGTTTCTCTCTGCAAAACTTTGAAAATGTGTGTTGATCGTATATCTTTGTGTAAGTCACAATTACTCGCAGAATGGGTAAATAATTTATATACACAAAGATTACTTGACAACGATGTTATAGCTTCCCTATCTGTGTGCTTTATTTGGAATTGCTCGCTAAATATATCAATTGATCAATTGAATACCATAAATTAACCTTATTTAGCCTTAATTCATCATATAAAACTATTTTTAAGCCCAAAAAAAATTTAAAAAAAGATAGCATACATTGTTTTATTTGTATGGGTTTATCTAAATCCAGCTGCTCCCCATCCAATACCCTTGTTCGTCCTTTTTTCCCCATTTATGCTCCTCCTTTGTCCAAACCCGTGTTGTTCTTCATCGCGATGATGCACTCTTCTCCGCAGGCCGCTAAAACGGTCAAGAGAAGGTCCTTGCCATCGTCGAAGTCGGAGCGTAGAGTTCCACCCAAATCCCCGTCCGGGAGCTTGAGATCCTCGCGGATGTCCCCGTTGTCCCCCATCAGAGTGACGAATCCATCGTCACTGATGTCGGTCAGCTGGTAGTCCTCGCGCTTCACGTGCGGCACATCCATGTTGTGGGTCGAGGGGCAGAGGTCCTCGTACTTCTTCTGGGTGAAAATATCCACGCCCACTAGGTGGACCTTGGCGTGACCGTGTTTTCCAGTCTTTGAGGTCGACATATCCACGATCTTGCAGGGACGTCCCTTCAGCATGACAAACCCATTCTTTCGCAATGCAGAGCACTGCATCGGAAAGGTTTTCGATGCTCCCGAGTCCACGGTATCGAACTGGGCATCGTCATCATCTGCCATGATCGGGGTTTGTTTCTAATAAATTTTATATTTTCTTTTTGTATTTCCTTTTTTCGAAAATAGAGAAAATAAAAAATTAAACTTTCCCGTCCGCTAGATTAATTGTAACTGAACTCAAAGCTGTAAGTTCCTAGCCTAGGATATGATTTTAGATGACATAATATTCAGAGGTTTCTGCGAAAATCGAAAAATCAGGGACAACCTTTCGAACTAAAATCGATCTAATGTTTAATATTTATTAAATATATTTTTTTTTTCATCTCACCTCTGATCTTTAAGTATTTATTATAAATATTTGATAATGATAACCCATTAAGCATTACAAATTCTAATACCTTTAACGATCTTCTCTTTTTTTTTTTTGTACTGATTTTTATTTTGATTGTTGCAACATTTCTTACAAATTTCTTAACTCATCCCCATTTAGATGAACTGATCTCGACGATTTATCAAACAGAAAATCCCTCTGCCGAGCAATCCCCTGAATCTAATTAATTGGAGATCATTAAGGTTGCTTCGCTCTTTTTCTACGGGGCGTGTCAGGGTCAGTTATGAAATCGCCTCCAATCGTTTATCAAAGTCGGTGGGTCATTCCAGCTGGGCTGCGATGAGGTGTGGTCAGTGGATAGTTCGTTGACCCACTGAGCCAGGAGTTGGAGCCACACCACCGGACCAGACCAGACGGTCTGAGGTGGGCCACCTGAACAAATTCAACGCTATTTGCGAATCGAACAGTTTTCCAGCTTTTCCCCGACTGTCGCTTCCCATTTGCATTTTCATTAATTTCTTGCCGGGTTTGTGTGTGTGCTATAGTTACTCTTTCAATGGGATGTTGGGATTTATAGTTTAATAGCCTTAGAAACTAACATTATAGTTTAATAGCTTTAGTAACCAAGGTAAATATAAGAAAAGTCGTTTACAACTAATACTATCCATTATTTCAAGTGCCGTAGTAATGATACAATCGCTCCCACTATCTTTTGAGCAATTCATTTCTATCAGAGTATTCAGGTCTTCGGTGTTATAGCTATGCCTTCCTAGTCTTTTATAAGTATTTGTGGCGTCGCTCAGGCGGCGGAGGATTCTCCTCTGCTTCTTGCCGGCGATCAGCCTCCTCCGCCCACCCCCTGTAATTTTTTTATTTTAGCTGTCTGTGCGGATCATTTTGAATTGACAGCAGCTCGTTTTGCTTCCTTGTTTGCCAATTGCATTGGCAAACGACTTGAAAGCATTTGCATTGGTCCAGGGGCGGCGGAGGAGGGGTTTATTAAGAGAGAGAGGAGGATAGACAGACACTCACTCAATCATGCATTCATTCAGTCAGTCAGTCAGTCGCTCATTCAATCATTTGCCCGCCCCTCGCTCCCTGCCATTCAAATTTTGTAACTGTTTTGTCTGCCAATTTGACATTTCTGCCAGCTCTCCTGCGTTTTCGAGGCCCCCAAAAACCCCTTTTTGTGGGTGTGTGTTTTGTTGGTTTGGCTTGTTTTCCTGTGCGTGGTTTGCGCCCCCTTTTCCTCGAAACACGCTGTCATGTCTTTGGGGTAAATGCAATAAATTTGCTAATACAATTTAATATGATTTTTCGAGTGGAGTTTTTTTGAGAAGCGGGATCGAGGGCACTCCCTGAATTTAATTGGAACCCTGGGAACCTATTTGCAGACCGCGCATGATGTCAGAACTTTGAGTTTGTCGTGTTCGTTCCAAAAAAAAGCAAAAATAAAAAAAAGCAAGCAATTGAAAATTGGACAAATAAAAAGAAACATTTGTGATATGTTGACAGCACACCATTCCGCTTAAGTGTAGCGAAAGATGAAAAAAATAAGAGGGAATAAACAAGATTATCAAGACCCGCATATGTGTCGTGTTGAAGTTGGAAGTTCTGTTCTGAAAACATTATGCATGTTGTCGGATAAGAAACGGGGTGCGTTTATTTATAGGAATTGCTCATATGATTAATGTCGACTTTATCAAAGAAGTTCAAAGAAACGCGTTTCGACTGGTTCCAGACAATAATGACTAATTGGTTGCATATGTTGGAGTATATCGAAAGTTTTAAATAAGTTAAATAAAGTGAGCAATTTGCTACTGAAATTATATATTAGGCATCATCAAAATTGCATTTTTAATTTATTGTAAAATATTGTATCTAATTATTTGGGGGAGTTTCCGACCCCATTTAAACACAAGCAAATGAATGATTTCTCATATTAACAAACAATACACAAAAAATGAATGCATTTTTGTGCAATGTTACCCCGTTCTCATAACAGCCACACAACCACACCCTTGCCAACCGCTCCCCACCTACTCCCCACCCCCTTTTGCAACTCCCCTTTTCCTGGGCGCATAATGCGTGTTGTTGGTACCATCCAAACAACATAAGGAAGAAACTGCAAACCAATTCAGACCACTCCCTCGGTTTTCCCGCCTCTTTTGCTGCTTAGCCAACTGACATAATTCCCAAGGAAAATGTTAAATGCATTAAAAACAACAGTTATGTCTCAATTAGGCGCAAACCAGTTTACAATAATGGCACAAACAGCGAAAACAATATCAACATCCAAAGAAAGCTTAAATTAAACTTTAAGAAGCGGCAAAACCAATTCATTATAAAAACAAAGCACGAGTCGGCAGCAAAAACAATTTTTACAAACAATGTGCATTGAGAAAAATTGCAAAAAAAAAAAAGGAAAAGGCGAATAGAAAAACTTCCACGCAATGCCGCTTTTCCTGCTTCCCATGGCCCCAAAAACAAAAAGTTGGCCAGCGTTTTTCATATAAATTAATTTCCTTTTGGCGGCCCAGCTATGGGAAAAATGCAAGGATGCAAATTAGAGGGGTCGAGGAGGGGAAATGGCTGAGCCTTTAACCTTAAGCTGCAGGGTTTTGCACTGTCCGTTTTGGGAAAACTCGTTGATGGGGGAAAACCCACGCAGCGTTTGCTATTTTAATGGAGACATCAAGCTTTTTTTTTATGTATCCACTTTTTTGGTTGTGGCGCCTCAATTGCTTTTAATGGTCACTTGTGGCGCTCCCTCACTCACAGAGTTTCCCCGCAAGCCCCTGTATTTCCCCACCTTTTCAATGGCCACTGCACTTTCCGTTTGTTAACTGTCACAACTCTGTTAAATTTTATTTATGTTTGGGCGCTCTGTCCCTCTTTTTCCGTCTCTTCTCATTGAGCAATGGCACGCACGCCCCCGCTTTTCCGCCTCATGCCACCCACATATTGCCCAGTTTTCCTCCTCCTCTCGGCACGCAATTAAATGTTGCACTTCAATATTGCCCCTTGGATGGACTGCCAGTGAACCGTTGAGTGACATTCATAGAGCTATCCATATTTCTTTGAACATCTATTTTGTTATCTCACCTAATGTGTCTGTTCATTCTCCATAAAATCCCTTGATTTCACACACATATTACGAACACTCAAATGCAGTTTAAGACTTCTCCCAACTCGATCAATATTCGATATCCAATATGGCCCCACTCAGGGTCGTTCCGCTTTGGCTGTTCAATGCTTTTGGCACGCAATTAGCATTAAAAATTGAAATATTTCCCTATGCTGTGAGGTCTTGCCCAACTCGCTTGGTTGTCATTTGAATATTTCATTACCAAAGTCAAGCTGCATAATATCGTAGTACTATGATTTTAATGGGTTTGGCTTTGAGCCAAGCGAAACGTAACACAAAACATTTTGTGTGGGTGCTCTTATAGAGGAATCAATGAGTGAAGACACCTTGGTAAGTTAAATTCTTAGAGAAAAAAGCAAAGATGGACATATGATGGAAGATAGATTATCTGAAAAGTTAATATAAACGAATTAATAACTTTTTATTTTAAGAGCCCCACTACTTTAACCTAAAAATAATTTAAAAATAAAACAAGAACCAAAAAAAAATAAAAAAAAAGACTTAAACAAAAAAAACAAACCAAAGCATAACAGAACAAAAAGTGGCGATCAAAATAGGTAAAATCAAAAAACCCAAAAAACAACACACAAACACCAAAGAACAAAAAGAAAATCGTCGATTAAAATGGTGGAGATGGCAAAACAAAAAACCCAACAACTTAAAACACCAACGTATGGCTTCCGATCGTTCAGTTATATGGCAGCTATATGATATAGTCGCCCGATCCGGCTCGTTCCGACTCTATACACCGCAATGAAAACAACTTTGGAAGTTTCAAGCAGATAGCTTTAAAACTGAGAACTAGTTTGCGTAGAAACGGACGGACAGACGGACGGACAGACGGACATGGCTAGATCGACTCTCCTGGTGATGCTGATCAATAACATATATACTTTATAGGGTCGGAAATGTCTCCTTCACTGCGTTGCAAACTTTTGACTGTAATTATAATACCCTCTGCAAGGGTATAAAGATAAGCATATCTTTCAAGAAATGACTTGTGAAAGTCATTAAAAATGGTAAAAACTACACTTATTTTTAATATTACCGGCAAGTTTCGTTGAGTTTTCAGAGAACTTTCGCGTTTTAAGTACTGGGGTATAATTCAATTTTATGGCAGTCTGTGCACACCCAGAACCAAATCGGCTTTCCTTCTACCTCCTCTGCCGATGGCAACCTGCAACCTGTTCCCAAGTAAACCAAATCCATTCATCAACCTGACATCGTTTCCTCCCCCCTCCCGTAACGCATTTATCTCGTACCTGTCTGCCCACAAGTTCAGTCCGTCCAACACTCCCAAACACTCCACTACACTTGACTTAACTTCGCGGCACGCACTTCCCCATCGCAGATAAGAGCCAGGCCAAAAAATAAGAGCCACTGGGATATTAAAGCCGACTTTCCAATTGACCCAGTTAACACTGTACGGGCTTGCTTAATCCGCTGCGAAATGGAACGCAAAGGGTTCGCCCTTACAATGTTGGGCCCCTTAAACAGTTTGAATTATATCTGGCCGAAAAGTGGAAAGAAAGATTGGTAAGAAATAAAGTCGGGGCTTACAATTAATTAGAGAAACACGCGGGACAAATGAATTTTGATAAGTTTATCGCAACCGCAGATCGCAGAGATCGTGCAAATGAGATTCGTTGCATCATTAGCACTTCCAGTTGGTGGTTTGAGGTGAATTAT